CACAAGATGAAAAAATTGAAGACTTCCCTAATTTCAGAGAATAGGTAGAGCACTAAAAACAAGAATGATCAAGTCATAAGGTGTTCTTTATGACTTATGAGTGAGTCAAGTGTTTTTTATTTTTATTATTTATTTATTTATTAATGTATTTATTTGGTCTTTTTGAGACAGGGTCTCCCTGTAGCCCCAGCTGTCCTGGAACTCACTATGTAAACCAGGCTGGCCTTGAACTCACAGAGATCATCCACCTGCCTCTGCCTCCAGAGTGCTGGGACTAAAAGCATGGCGCCACCACACCCGGCTAAGTCAAGTGTTTTAAAGGTGTCTCTAACTTCGGGTTGACTTTGATGCCACTGATTCATGCACAAGTATCTCTGCTGGAGTCTTTTATATATTTTTTAAAGATCTTTTAAGCAGAGGCCAGAAGAGTATATTAGATTCCCCTGGAGCTGGTTATAGGCGGTTGTGAGCTTCCCAACATGGGTGTTGGAAACTGAACTTGGGATCTCTGTAAGAGTAGTTATGCACTTTTAACTGATGAGTCCTCTCTCCAATCCCCTAGTGTCTTAACAAGGTCCCCATTCAGTGGGTCATATAATGTTTTATTTATTTTGAGGGGGTGTTTTATTAATATTTATTATTTTTATTTTAAATGTATGATTGTATTGACTGCATGTAGGTAGGTGCACCCACCATATTGTGCCGAGTTACCGATGGTTGTTAACTGCGATGTGGGTGCTAGGAATCAAACTCCAGTCTTCTGCAAGATCAGCCAGTGCTCTTAACCTCTGAGTCATCTCTCTGGTCATATACTGTTTTATTCACTTAGATAGCTAGTTAGTTAGTTGGTTGGCATTGGGGACTGAACCCAGGGCCTTACACTTGCCAGGCAAGTACTCTACCACCGAGTTAAATCTGGGTTGTAGTGTGAGACCCTGTCTCAAAAACAAAATAGTTGGCCTGGTGGTGCATGCCTTTAATTAAAGCACTTAGGAATCAGAGGCAGGTAGATGATGACTTGAGAGCTTGGTTTCAAGTAACCTAGGGCAGAGACTAGTCAGATCCCACCACATTCTTTACTTCATGTGTCCCTCTAAATGGTCTGTTTTTAGTTCAAGAAATTTAAATGCTGGGTACATGCTCAGTCGGTAAAGTGCTTGTAACAAAGAATAAGGACCTGAATTTGATGCCTAGCATCCATATAATCCCAGGCACATGCAATCCCAGTGTTGGGAAGGCAGATCTAAGAGAATGCCTACAGCTCATTGACCAGTCAGTGGAACAAAATGGATAAGCTCCAGGTCCAGAGAAAAACCCTGGCTCAAAAATTATGGTTGTGACCTGGCGTGGTGGCACACGCCTTTAATCCCAGCACTCAGGAGGCAGAGTCTGTGAGTTCAAGGCCAGCCTGGTCTATATAGTGAGTTCCAGGACAGTGGGGGCTACAGGGAGACCCTCTCAAAAAGACCAAAAAAAAAAAAAAATAATGGTTGTAAGCCTAGAGAAATTGCTCAATGATTAGAGCATTGACTGCTCTTGCAGAGGACCCAGGTTCAGTTCCCAACACTCACATGGTGGCTAACAACCATCTGTAACTCCAGTTCCAGCTGATCCAACACCCTCCTCCAGCCTCCACGAACACTGCATGCGAAAGTGCAGTTACATACTTGGAGGCAAAACACTCATATACATACATACATACATACATATATACATACATAGAGGGGGGGGAATGTAAATGCCATCAAATTATATTGTATGTGCCGAGGCCAGAGGTCAACCTCAGGTGCATTCCTCAGGTGCCATCCACCTTGTTCTGTTGAGACAGGCTGACTTGAGCTGGCTGATTAGGCAGGGTTGGCTGACCAGTGAGCCCCAGGGATCCGCCTGTCTCTGCCTGCCCCTCCCCATGTCTGGGATTACAAGCATTCCCCCCGCCCCCGGCCCCACTGACTGATTTACTGAGACAGGGTCTCATGTAGCCCAGGTTGGTCTCAAACTTGCTATATAGCTGAGGGTGACCTCAAATTCCTGACCTCCTACCTCACCCTCTAAAGTGCTGAGACAGGTATGTGCCACCACACTGGCTTAGCCTCTTATTTCATTTATTTACTTATTTTTAAACAGTTTACTTTAATTGTATGTATATGTTTTACCTGTATGTATGTGAGCGCACCTGTGTCATGCAATGCCCATGGAGGCCGGAAGGGGGAGCTGGAGCCCCTAGAACTGGAGTTAGAGTTGTTAGCCACCATGTGGGTGCTGGGAACTGAACCTGGGTCCTCTGCAAAAGCAGTCAGTGCTATTAACTGCTGAGCCATCTCTCCACTTCCCACCATTATCATCTTAATGAACACTATGCCAGAGAGAGAAATAGGGAGAAAGGCCTTGCAGCCAAGGATGACAAAGTGTCAGCAAGAGGGAATCCATGCAAGAGGAAGGACCACCAGTGAGAAAGACACTTTGCAAATCCCTAGTGTCATGGCAAAATCCCTGCCTGACACTCTGCAGCCCCGGATTGATGCCCATTATAGAACAGATTATACTTGTGACAGAATTCCAATACAACAAAGACTGCAGAAGTTCCTGGAGTCCTTTATGGGCTCTGAACTATTACAAATGGGAAGGAAACTCTAATCTCCTCTTGCACAGAAAGGACAGATTGTTCACAATTTGTCACCTATTCCCACTGGAAGAGCTCCTCCCACAGAAGGTACTCCAGGAAGGGCTATGGAATCAGAGAACAAGGTCTTTAGCTGTTCTTGGAGGATGGGACCAAAAGATGGTGTGCAGCCTGGCCATCTCACCAGATCCATGCTCTATGTTAAAAGAACCAGCAAGGCCTGATATGGCCTGACATGGTGCCTACAATCCCAGCACTAAGGAAGTTGAGGCAGGATCGAGAATGGAAAGACAGTCTGGGCTGCATCAAGATACCTTGTCTGAAGAAGACAACAAAATGGCTCAGTGGGTACTGTCAAGACTGAAGACCTGAGTTCAATTCCTGGGACCCCCATGGTGGAAGGCAAGAACCAACTTCTGATCACCACACACGTGCTATGGCATGTGCTCCCATACACATACGCACACAAGATAAACAAAAACGTATGAAACCTTAAAAACAAAAACAAAAACAGAACCACCACCAAAAACAACTTCATGAATTTATTATTTTCTTTTGAAACAGGGTCTCACTGGCTGGCCTGGTACTCGCTACATAGACCAGGCTGACCCACTGGGATTAAAGGCATGTGCCACCATGCCCAGTTCAACAAAATTTAAAGGGAAGAAAAACTAAAAGAAAGGGGAAGATCACCAACATAAATAAAAGTGCAAGTAATGCACAATTACTTGAGTAGTTTTCAAAAAAAAAAAGGTATGGGGGTGCACGCTGTAACCCTAATCTGTAACTCCAGCACCCAGTATGCTTAGGCAGGAGGACTGCAGATTTCAGACTATCCTGGGTTACACAGAAAGACCTTGTCCCAAACAAAAGGCCAACAGACAAGCAAACAAAAGAATATGCATTTGTAGCATTGAATATCCATCAACAGGAAATTGTTTTTAAATCGTGCAGGGGAGAAACAATGAGGTGGCTCTCTCTTTTGTTAGGGAAAGATTTCCACCTAAACTGGAAAAAACAAGGTGCTAGCTGGTGTGCACTTGCTGTTCTCAGTGTGGGAAGGATACACAAATACATTTGTAAATGCAAGAAATCTCAGAACACAGAATACACTAAACAGCAATGCCTTCTGGGAGAATGAGGTAGCTGGGGAAGAGGGTGGGAAGGTGTCCCTTTACTTATTCAAAACATTATTCAGCTGGGGAGATGGCTCAGCAGGCAAAAAGGCCTTGGGATCTGCAAAGCAGAGAGGGAGAGAACAACGAACTCCTGCAAGTTGTCTTCTGACTTCCACAGGCAAACACCCATACAACTAAATAAATGTTAAAAAGAAAATTATGACTTGTCATGTAGGGGCCAGGAACTGATCCCAGGTCCTCTGCAGGAACACCCAGTGCTCTTAATTGCTGAGCCATCTTTCCAGTCCCTTTAAATTTTTTATTACAATTTATTTATTTATTCATTCACTCATTCATTCATTGTGTGTACATGCACAAGAAAGGGCGAATGTGGGTCCAAGGACAACTTGAAGAACTTGCAGAAATTTGCTTTTTCCTTCTAACACATGGGTCCCAGGGACTGAACTCAGGCTGTGAGGCTTGGGGGCAGGCACCTTTACTAACTGAGCCATTTCACAGACCCTGGTTTTATTCTTTTGGGACAACAAGGTCTCATGTAGCCCAGCCTGTCACCACTGCAGGTTTTATGAGGTGCTGGGGATCAAATACAAGCCTCATGAATGTTATACAGACACTACCAAATGAGTTACTCCCAGCCCCATGCCTTTTTAAAAGACTTTTTTATTTATGTACATACGTATATGTATTGTGAGTGCTTTCAGATGCCAGAAGAGGGTGTTGGACCTCCTGGAGCTGGAGTTATAGGCATGTGAGCCACTGGATATGGACGGAGGAAACTGAACTAGGCATCTCTGAAAGAGTAGGAAGCACTCTTAACTGCTGAGCCATCTCTCCAGACTCCATGGCTTGGTGTTTTGAGATAGAGTCTCGCTTTATATCCCTGGCTGGCCTGAAATTTGCTATGTAGATTAGACCAGGCTGGCCTCTAACTCTTGATCTTCCTGTCTCTGCTTCTTGAGTGCTGGGATTACAGCTGTATGCCACCATGCACAGCTAAAATGACTCTTTTGAGGCAGGGCCTCAATGTGTATGTAGCTCTAGCTGGCCTGGAACTCACCATGCAGACCAGGCTAATCTCCAACTCAAGAGATCTGTCTGCCTCCCCAGTGCTGGGATTAAAGGTATGTGCCACCATGCCTGGCCTTTAGATGACTCTAAAGTTCTTATAGAAAAACAATCAGATTCAGATCTTTTCTTCAGAAGCTGGTATTCTTTTTTGTTCTGTTTTTTTTTCTTTCTTTTATTTCATCATCTAGCCAAAAGGTAGTCAGCTGGAGCCAAATAATCTAAGAGAGATTCACAATGCCTGTGTCCTTATAACACAAAACACAAAGGAACAAAATCAGAGATAGCACAGGGTCTGGCCCCAGGTCTTTTCAGAGAAAACTAAACACTGGCTTCAATACCCCTGCCCCCAATACAGTGAAGAAATAGATGGGTGCTCTCCAGGTGCCACACACACAGCCAGGCCTGTCATAGCATCCAAAAGTCTCTAAATTGTCCTGGGAGCTAGGCAGTGGTGGCTCTCTCATGGAGTTTACAGAACAACTGTGCAGGACTCCTTAAGTACTTAATCCTGTTTTTTAGAAGCCTTTTGCAACTGGGCTCCCAAGAAGCCAGCAGGGCTGCATGGATGCCTACAGACCAGGAGAGGTAGCGCCTCTTGGAGCAGGCACCAGGGAAGCAAGGGGCAGGGATCAGCTAAGACACTCCATGCTGGTTCTGACTCGCTCCATCTCATGCAGAAAGCCGTAGAACTGAGGCAAAGTTAGTTCTGGGGAGAGAAGATTTAGTTGAGGTGAGTGTTTCCAACTCCACAGAATCACCCAAGGAAGTTCACTTCTACCCAGAATTTTTATTCATTCACTTCTGGGGCGCAAACCCAGGGCTGTATGTATGCAAGTGCTCTGTCCTTGAGCTACATCCCCAGGCTGAGATTTATTTTCTTTTTGTATGTCTAAGCAGATTTCTCTTTCTTTCTCTGGTGCTAGGAATCAAACTCAGGGCCTTTAGCATATTAAGCAAAAGCTCTACTGAGCTACATCCCCAGCTAGGTAGCTCTTGATGGATACTAGGAACCATGCAAGGGTCTCAGTTCCACAGAGCAGGAGTATGTAAGTGCATTAAAATGGTGTCACCTAGCTGGACAAGATGGCATAGCCTTTAATCCCATCACTGGGATCTCTGTGAATTCAAGGCCAACCTGGTCTATACAGAATTCCAGGTTGGCCAGGGCTCCATAGTGAGACTATCTCAAAATAAATAAATAAATAAATAAATAAATAAATAAATAAATAAATAAATAAAGTAAATAATAAAATGGTGTCACTCTGGAGCACAGAGGGTTTCTCAGAGGGCATCTTCCTGGCTGGCTGTTCAGTGGGACTCTTACAGTGAGAGCTTTCTTGCCTTCAATCTGCTTCCACTGTAGCCCCCACCATGCCCTTTCCTCAGAAGGCTCTTCTACTTGGAGCTTCCAACTTGCCTATAGCTTGGTAACAGACCTGGCACCATCTCATTTGAGAGGAAAGGCCAATGGTTACTCCAGAACTTGCTGATGACTGTCTCTAGGTAGATGGGGCAAGGGTGGGAGATATTTCTAGTCCAGGTGCCTAAGGAGAAAAAGAAAGCTTCAAACAGAGTCACAGACTCACCTATATACAAATTTTCAGTTTGGTTTCCTTTCTTAATCACCAACTTTAACTAAAAAGAGGAAAAAAAGGAAGGAGAGAAGGAAATAATTAGTTAAATTAAAATGACAGGCCAGCAAGATGGCTCAGCAAGTAAAGTGCTTACCACACAAGCCTGATGACCCGAGTTTTGATCCCCAGAATCCACATAAAAGTGGAAGGAGGGAACTGATTCTTTGAAGCTATCCTCTGACCTTCACACATGTGCTGTGGCACGTGCCTCATCCCCTCCATCTCTCTTTCACATACATATAACAATAATTTTTAGAAAATATATTTTATTATTTTAATTTAATTTTATTTTGTGTGTATTAGTATATTGTCTGCATATATGTAAGTGCACCTGTGTCATGCAATGCCCAAGGAGGTCAGGAGAGAGCATTAGATCCCCTGGAACTGGAGTTACAGACAGTTGTTAGTCACTAAGTGGGTTCTGGGAACCGAATCTGGATCCTCTGCAAGAACAGCCAGTGCTCTTAACCACTGTGCCATCTCTCCAGCCTGGGATAAAGAAAATTTTTAAAAATAAGGACAACTGGGGCTGGAGAGATGGCTCAGTGGTTAAGAGCACTGACTGCTCTTGTAGAGAACCTGGGTTCAATTCCCAACACCCACATGGCAGCTATGAACCGTCCTTAACTCCAGTTCCAGGGGAATTCCAAAGCCCTCTTCTGACCTCCACAGCATCACACAACACAGGTACAGTCACATACACACAGGTAATACACTCATACACATAAAATAAAAATAATAAATAAAATATTTTTTTAAAAAAGACAACTGAACAAAGGAATTCCTCCAAACCCTTTCACCTTATTAAATTCTAAAGCATCCTAGGGTCTTGAGGATGCTAAACATATACTTTAACCGGCAACATCCCAACCCCATCATACAGCATCTAACTATACAGAAGTGGTCTAAAATGTCCAATACCAAAAACTGTAGCAACTAGGGCTGGAGAGATGGCTGAGTGGTTAAAAGCCCCTGCTCCTCTTGCAAAGATCTGGGTTTGGCTTGCAGTACCCATATGGTGGCTCACAACCATCTGTAACTCCAGCTCCTGGGCATCCAATGCCCTCTTCTGGACTCTGTGGGCCACTATGCATGTGGTACACAGATATACAAACAAGCAAACACTTATAACACATAAAATAAAAATAAATAGAAATAAAAAATTCTAAAATCACCTAGATGTATTGTTCTGAGGGCAGACATGTTGGCTGATCACACTGCTCAGAGATACAGGATACACAGAGCATTTTCTGGGAACATCACTTAAGACTTAAGAGGAGGCCGGGGGTGGTGGCTCACACCTTTAATCCCAGCACTCAAGAGGCAGAGAGAGGCTGGAGGATCTCTGCAGGTTCAAGGGCAGCCTGGTCTACATAGTGAGTTCCAGGTCAGCTGGGGCTACAGGGAGATCCTGTCTCAAGAAGACAGTAAGAGTATACAGAAAGCCAGTGTAACTATAGTAATTTTTTTTTTTTTTTGAGGGAGCGTCTCATGTAGTCCAAGCTGTCCTTGAACTCCTGATCCTCCCATCTCACCTCCTGAATGCTAGAATTAATCTCATCTCCTGAATGCTGGAATTATAGACATGTGCCACCATGCCTGGCTTTTATTAATTTTTAGCTAAGTTGAAAACCTCCCCATTTTCACTGATCAGAAGACTCACCTGTAAAAAAATACTTCCCACTTTCTCTAATTCACTGCTTCCAGAGGTCACTGTGACACAAGAGAAAAATACTAAGTGACTGAGGAACTCAACTTTGAAGGCTATCCCTAGAGAAGCCATGTGAGGTTGAATATAAGGGCAGCAAGGGGTGCCAGACACAGAGATGACCAACTTGCTGGGCCTGTTGGAGCTTGAGATCAAGGACAAGTCTGCCCCACCCAGGCTCTCCAATCCAACCTCACGACAGCCAAACAAGTGACCAGAACTAGGTCCAGCTAGTTACCTCCAAACCTCCATTCCATATCAATAAGTCGGTTAATCATCAGGGTCTGACCTATTGCCCATCTTGCAAGGGTAGGGGTGTTCTGCCTCCACTGCAACCAAAGCAAAAAGCCAAAGTTATCAGAATGGGACTCACCACTGCTTTTCCTTCAGCTCCAAGCACAGTAACGTTAAGACGGAGGGAAAAAAGAACCAAGATCTGGGTCTTCATGCACACATGACAGATGACAGGAAATACAACTCCGTGCACAGATGACAGGAAATACAACGTAACCCTCTTCCCCTTCTCTCTGAGACAAGGTGTCTCATAGCCCAGCTGGCCTTGAACTCTTGAACTTTCTGCCTCTACCCGCCATCCCGCCCCAGTGCTGGGACTACCAGAGTACACTACCCTACCCAGCTTAAGTATTTTCTTTCATCCCAAAATTTAATTCATACTGGAAAAAGGGAGATTACACAAAAAACCTTGACTGGTCACAAACCACCATTCCTGCTGACTGGCCTTATCAGAGCACTGTTAGCCCCTGGGCTTTACCAAAGCATTGTTACCCCTGCTTCAAAACTATGGCCCTGGAACCTACCACCCCAGCCATGAAGCAGACACCTGTTCTGAAAATAGGCCTTTTACAAACAGCAACTCACCTAATTCTATGGAATACTTAAACTATCCTGCCACTTGAATCAGTATGGCTGCTGTGCGGATTCTTGCCGGTCAGCTTCCACCCCGCATGAACCAACATATGGTCAATTTAGATCATGGAGGTGGGATTTTCTTCCTTTTCTATCTGTGCCTCTTCCACTCCTATTCCTAACAGGAGCAATGACTGTATGACATTAATATTTGGTCAAACCAGAGGGGGAAATAAGGGCCGCACTCAGCAGAGCTGGCTAACAGCCACAGGTGTGCCACTCCTGCTAAGCCAATGGAAGGAAGGGGGGTTTGGTCTCACTCAGCATTTTCCATTCTTTTTCTTTTCAGGAAATAAAAGCCAGGATCTTAACCCAGTTTAAGAGAATTATACCTTTTCAGAAAAGTAAGTGGCTTTCTCCTCACTAAGACCTGCAAGAGAACAGAAGGGATCATTAACATAATAAAAAGCCGGAAGCCCTCCCTCTCCCCGGGCAACCTTAGGTAAAGACCTACCCAGAGTTATGAAATCAGCACAGACCTGCTCAGCAGTGAGGCCCTTCTTCAAGGCACCTGGAGGCAGAGAAGAAATCATAAAATGTGCAAATCAATGCATTAGTCAGCAGTGAGTATCTCAGCAGCCCAACCTACCTAACAGAAAGGACAGAAGGAGTTCCCTTTAGAAAGGTCTCGAGCTAGCTGGGGGGAAAACAGCTGAAACTGCTGTGGCAGGGTGGCACGCTTGTTTACTGCACAGTAGGATCACTTACCGTCCAGGGAGGGTAGACCAAGCTAGAGACAGCAGAAAAGACTGTGGCTTGGCATGGGTCACTCAAGTGAAGGAGTGGGGCTACAGAGTCCTGCAGCTCCACGGCAGCCTGGGTATAAGGCAGCAACCTGGCACTTCATGAAGTAATTTGTTGCATTTGGTTACTCAAGTTTAATTAAAAGTGATGTGTCGGTTGGGGATGTAGCTCAGTTGGTGGAGTGCTTGCCTGGCAGGCATAAAGCCCTGGGTTTGATGTCCAATACCATATAAACCTGGCTTGGTGGTTGAGGTAGAGGAAGGGGAGGATCAGAAGTTCAAGGTCAACCCTGATGACATAGGTTACTCAAGGTCAGGCTGGGCTACCTGAGACATTAATATTTTATTATTATTATTATTATTAGTGTTCTATGACTGGCCTAGGCAACATGACAAAATCTTATCTCAAAATAGAACATTTTAAAATCTGATTTGGGAAGTGGAGAAAGATGGGTCAGCAGTTAAGAGCCCTGGCTGCTCTTCCAGAGGACCCAGGTTTGGCTCCCAGTACCCATATGGCAGCTAATACCTGTCCATAATTCCAGAACCAGGAGATCTCACATCTTCTGGCCTCTGCTTTTCAAGTGCTGGGATTATGATATGGGCCGCCATGCTTGGCCATCCTATTTCTTTTTGTCAGTGCTGGGGATAGAACCTAGGGCCTCCTACATGCTAGGCAGAAGCTCTGCTACTGGCCACACAAACTCTAGACCTACTGTTTTGCTTGATGATCTCAAAATACTGTGAAATTAACAGGATGTGGTGGGGCATGCCTTTAATCTCAGCATTTAGGAGGCAGAGGCAGGTGGTAGCCTGGTCCAATAGTTAGTTTCAGGCCAGCTTGGGCTACAAAAAGACCCTGTCTCAAAAAAGACCAAACAAACAAATAAAAACAAAAAACAAAAAAAAAGCAAAGCAAAAACAAAACAAAAACTATGATATGAGGCTTATGACTGTAACTTTTTTTCTTTTTGGTCTTTTTGAGACAGGGTCTCCCTGTAGCCCCAGCTGTCCTGGAACTCACTATGTAGACCAGGCTGGCCTTGAACTTACAGATATCCGCCTGCCTCTGCCTCCCGAGTGCTGGAATTAAAGGCATGTGACAACTTTTAAATTTACCAGAAAACTAAAGATCAGAAGATTAAGTTTTAGCAAGAGATCAGGTAAGTACCCATAATTGTGAAAGCACTCAATAGGTATTCCCCCAAGAGTACAAGAGTGCTACAGTATGTGTGGGACGCTCTTTAGTCAGGTGAGCACGGTGTGTGGGCGAGATAAAGGCGGATCTCTGTGAGTTCAAGGCCAGCCTGGTCTAGTGAGTTCCAGGCCAGATGAGGCTACAAGGAGACCCTGTCTCAAAAAAGATGAAAAAAATAAAAATATATCAGGTTAAAGGCTGGTTTGGGTACATTCAAGGTAGCCTGGGTACACAGATAAATTTAAAACTTGTCAGATTGGGCATGGTGGCGCACACCTTTAGACTCAGCATTCAGGAGGCAGAAGCAGGTCAATCTTTGTGAGTCTGAGGTCAGCCTGGTCAGTGAATTTCAGATCAGCCAGGGCTACATAATGAGATTGTCTTAAACAACAAACAAAACAAAAAACCTGCTTGTTTGATTCATAGGGCTGGGAGAGTGTGATGTAGCTCACTGATAGCATGAAGGAAGCCCTGGGCTGATCCCCAATACCACATAAAACCAGATATGGTGGCATAGGCCTGTAATCCCAGCACTCAGAAGTGGAATAGGAGGGACTAGTTCAAGGTCATCCTCAGCTACATAGCAAGTTTGAGGACAGCCTGGGTTACATGAAACCCCATCTCAAAAAGAAAAAACCAATCCAGGTGTGTCACTCATCTCATTTCGCTTACAGTAACTTCCAAACTCTTGCTTTTCAGGCTTGGACGCCTCTGGAGTCCCTGGATCTCTTTCTTAACTTCTGCTATGCCCATTTTATATTTTGCTTTATACATATTTTAATACTGCATTTATTATTTTTCATGTGTATCAAGTGTGCTTCACTTGCACGCCTGTAAGTGCAACCATGCCACGCAAAGCCTATAGAGGCCAGAAGAGGGCATAGGACTCCCTGGAACGGGAATTAGGGACAGGAGAGTTGTTAGCTGCCATGTGGGTGCTGGGAATTGAACCTAGGTCCTCTGAAAGAGCAGTTAGTGCTCTTAATTGTTGAGTCATCTCTCCAGTCCTATATTTTTTTTTCTGGTTTGTTGCTTTGGTTTTACTATGCAGTCCTGGTTGGCCTGGAACTCCTATGTAGACCAGGCTAGCCTCAAACTCACAGAGATCTGCCTCTCTCTGCTGGGATTAAAGGCATGCACCACCACACCTAGCCCCCTTTTCTGCCACCTCCCCCTTTTAAGTAATATGTGAGTGTCTGCCCTGTTTGTGCATGTCCATGGAGGCCAGAGAGAGGACATTGGATTCCTTGGAGCTGGAGTTATACTGGAGCCACCGAGCCATTTCTCTAGCTCCCCCCTACACTCCCCACCAAACGGTCTCACTAATGTAGCACTGGCTGGCCTGAAACTCACAGAGATCAGTCTGTCTCTGTCTCTTCAATGCTGGGATTAAAAGTGTGCACAACCACATCCAGCCAAAGATTTATTTAACATTTATTTATTTTTTGGTCTTTTTGTGACAGGGTCTCCCTCTAGCCCCAGGCTAGCCTGAAACGCACTATGTAGACCAGGATGGCCTTGAACTCACAGAGATCCAACTGTTTCTGCCTCCCAAGTGCTGGGACTAAAGGTGTGCGCCACCACGCCCAGCCTAGATTTACTTACCTTTTTATGTGTATGAATGCACACCATGTAAATTCCTGTGGCCTACGCCAGAAGGTATTTGATCCCCTAAACTTGAGTTACAGGAAGTTGTAAGTTACCAACTGAGTGCTGGGAACTGCAAACCTGGGTCCTCCAGAACAGAAGAAAGTGCTCTTTACTGCTGAGCCATCTCTCTAGCCTTATTTTCTGAGCTAGACTCTCATGTAGCCTAGGCTGGCTCAAACTTGGTATGTAGGTAAGGATGATCTTGAACACCTGATCCTCCTCTACAATTAGGATTACAGACATGTGCTACCAAACTGAATTTTTTTAATAAAAAAAAAATTTATTATATTTTATGTGTATGAGTGTTATGCCTGCATGTAGGTAAGTGCACCCATGTTGTGCAATGCCTGCGGAGGACAGAAGAGGCTGTTGGATCCCTTGGAACTTGAGTTGCTGTTAGGTGCCATGTGGGTGCTGGGATTAGAACCCGGGTCTTCTGCAAGAATAGTCAGTGTCCATAAACACTGAGCCATCTCTCCAGCCTTTTTTTAAATTAAAAAAAAAAATTTATTATTTTAATTTTATGTGTATGAGTGTATTGCCTGCATGTATGTGAGTGCACCCATGTCATACAATGCTGCGGAGGTCAGAAGTGGGCTTTGGATTCCCCTGGACTGGAGTTAAGCAAGGTTTGTAGCCAACATGTGGGTGCTGGGAATCGAACTCAGGTCCTCTGCAAGAGCAGTCAGTGTTCTTAACTGCTGAGCCATCTCTCCAGCCGCCACACTGAACTTCTTTAAGGTGAAATGGTAGAACTGTGGGTCGTATTTATTTCTTCTTTCTTTCTTTATTCCTCCCTCCCTTTCCCTCTTCCCCTCCTTCTCCCGACTTAATCTTTTTGAGAATGTCATATAGCCCAGGCTAGTCTCAAATTTGCTATGCAGATTAAGGCAGCCTTGAACTCCTGATCCTTTGGTATCCACATTTCAAGTGTTGGGATTAAAGGTGTAAGCACAATTTTTTTGTTTTGTTTCGTTTTCTATAAAAAAAGAAAAATCTTACATTTTGCCCAGGGCCCACAACTGCCAAGTACAATACCCAAGTGGTTTCCAGGCCAGAGGGTCCCCAGGAGCAGTTCTTTCGGCTCTAGGTCATTCTGATGAAGCTCAACGGGGCCTGACACAGCAGGCTACTAAGCTCTAGGGGCTAGAGAGCAGGCTGTCCACTCTGAAGCTACCTTCTGTAGGCAGGAGACAAACCTGACAAAGATACTTGCTCCCCCAGGCCTCCAGTGCTTCCTTTCCAGTTGTTTCCTTTGGTGATACCTTTGTCCTAAATAAATGTGGCCTTGACCCTACATAGGGAATCCTTGGTAGAAACACCCTGACAGGGAAAGCAGGTAGAAGAGGATTGGGAGTAATCTGCCTAGGATAGGGAGTCATCTCCCAAAGGCTGACCAGCTGAATCACCCTGTGAGACCCAGGAGAAACAAGGCAGCCCCCAGTGCATGTAGCCAGAGCACCTTCTGTGCCAGCATTACGCTACACATTGGGAGATATTAATACCAGCACAGACATAACCTCTGCCCTTGTGAGGCCTATATTCCACTGGGAGAAGAAAGATCATGACAGTATGTAAGCCACAGAACACTGAGGCAAAATGTGCCAGAGAAAAGCAGGGGAGCAGGGGAGGCTGTCGGTCCTGAGGCCATAGGCTGACATGTGATTAAATACCATTTGAAGGAAAATAATACTCCCACACCTTAGGCAAATGGTCACTCTGTGTGTTCTTTTCTGTATTAGTAAAAATAAAAACAAGATGCTGGGCGTGGTGGTGCATGCCTTTAATCCCAGCACTCAGGAGGCAGAGGCAGGTGGATCCCTGTGAGTTCAAGGCCAGCCTGGTCTACATAGTGAATTCCAGGGCAGCTGGGGCTACAGGGAGACCCTGTCTCAAAAAAGACAAAAATAAATAAATAAAATAAATAAAAACAAGAAACAAAATACAAAAAAGAAAGCCGGATGTGGTAGCACAGGCCTTTAATCCCAATACTCAGGAGGCAGAGGCAGGTGGATGGATCTCTGTGAATTCAAGGCCAGCCCACCAGACTTTGTGAGTTCCAGGCCAGCTGGGGCTATAGGGAGATCCTGTCTCAAAAAGACCAAAAATAAATACATAAATAAATAATAAATAAATTACAAAAAAGAAAAAAAGTACAATTTGTGACTACAGCTCAGTGCTGAGCATTCTTTTCCTGGCAAGACTTCACACAGAACTCCTTGGGGAGTAGGGATGGGAAATTATCTTTTAACAGAAAACAAAAGTCAATTACTGATCACCCCCACTGGCCAGATAGCTTGCTAAGCAGTAAAGGAAAACAAGTTTCAGCAGCAGCCAAGTTATCTGGAATCCTGGTGAGAGGGAACAGGAAGGCAGCTACCACTGCAGGAGGTGAGGTCTTTATCTATTATCTTTCCCCACCTGCTCCCCGCCCCCAGTGCTGGGGATTGAACCCAGGACCTTGTGCATTCCAGGCAGGGGGTCTACCCCTGAGCTACATATCCACAGCCCATCTTTCTCCATCCTCACAGTATGAGGAGGCCTCTCAGCTCCATTTCATCCCTGAAGAAGCTGATTCTCCAAAGTGAAGGAACTTAGTTCAAGGTCTCTAGTAAGCAAGGAGTGCAACAGGGCCCCCCAGCAACCAAATACATATGGGCTGGGGCCTATGTGGACCCTCATAGGAAGGACCCTCCACCCTATGTGGAGCCTCAGTGGAAGAGAACAATGACCATAAAACAAACAGTGCAACAGACAATGAGGAACCAAAACTGGGCTGCAAGATGTCCTTTCAGATATGATAAAGCTTATCTCTCACAGTAGACAGCTAAATATTCAGGAATGAAATGGTGTATCTGATAGGTACTTTAAACTAATTCAGCTTAACTGGGTGTGGTGGTGGCTACATCAAATATTGCCTGTGTTCCCAGTGCTCTTGAGGCTGAGGCTGTGTGATCTCTGTGAAACTGGGGCCAACCTGGTCTAATAGCAAGTTCCAGGTCAGTTGGGGCTACATGGGGATCCCATCTCAATAAAAACAAAACTGGCTGGGTGTGGTGGCACATGTCTTTAATCCCAGCACTCAGGAAGCAGAGGCAGGCGGATCTATGTGAGTTCAAGGCCAGCTTGGTCTACATAGTGAGTTCCAGGCCAACTGGGCCTACAGGGAGACCCTGCCTAAAAAAGACAAAACAAACAAAAAAACCACACACACACACACACACACACACACACACACACACCCCACAAAACTAACAAAAAAACTAATCCAGTTTGGAAAGCAGTGAGAAGTAGGTACAAATGAAATTAACTTGGTTATGCACTGATAGTTGTTAAAGGGGGATGACTAAAAACTCTGTACAAAATAGTAAAAGAAGGTTACATGATGGAGCACCTTTAATCCCAGCACTCAGAAGGCAGAGGCAAAGGCAAGTGGATCTTGGTGAGGTCAAGGCCAGCTTGATCTACATAGTGAGTTTAGCAAATTCTAGGCTAGCGGGGGCTATAGGGAGACCCTATGTCAAAAATCCAACGCGGGGGGGGGCTTTTCTTTCTTTTTTCCTTACATTCCCTCTACCCCCACTACTCAGTTAAGACTGGTTCCAGCCAGGCATGGTGGCGCAAGCCTTTAATCCCAGCACTGGGGAGGCAGAGGCAGGCGGATCTCTGTGAGTTCAAGGCCAGCCTGGTCTACATAGTGAGTTCCAGGACAGCTGGGGCTACAGGGAGACCCTGTCTCAAAAAGACCTAAAAAAAGATTGGTTCCATGCTTAATTATTTCAGTTTTCTTTACTGCAGGACTTTTCTTGTGTGTTCCCAGGCTGGTGTTGGGGGAGCAGAAAGCCTTTCACTTACAGAACCCACTGATTGGAGGAAGAGTGAGCTGGTGGGCTCCTGAGGCCCCTTCATCTCTAAGGAGACCACTTTCTACAACTAGTTTAATTGCAGGAACATGGCCAGGATGTGGGATGCTGCCTATTTATTTATTTATTTTTTTCTTCTGGTGTTCTGAGTCAGGGTTATGCATCTAGCCAGGCTGGCCATAAAGTTGTGATCTTCCTGCCAGCCTCAGAAGTGTTGGAATTACAAGTGTGAGCCACAGGGAAAGTTTTATTTATTTATTAATTTAAAAAGTTTTTTGGTTTTTTTTTAGTTTTAGACAGGGTCTCCCCATATATAGCCCCACATGGCCTGGAACTAGCTATGTAGACCAAGCTGGCCTCCCCATTTCACAGAGATGTCTTCTTCTATCTCCCAAGTGCTGGGGTTAATAATGTGCACCGCCATGCCAGGCTTGGTAAAGTGCTTGCTGTACAAGCAGAACTTGAGTTGATTCCTAGAATCCACTTATGAAAGCTAGGGGTAATGAGGCCTATTTGTAATCACAGCCCTGGGAAGACAGAGACAAGCAGATCCCTGGGGATGATCAGCCAGTCTAGCTTAATAGATAGGTCTCAGTGAGAGAACCTGTCTTAAAAAACAAGGTGGACAGCTCTAGCTTTCTAATGCACACACACACACACACACACACACACACACACACACACACAGGTGTCGCTTGCACATGCACATATACAAACAGGCGCACACAAATAGCAACAACAAATAAAAAAAGAGGAAGGAAGAATACAAACTATGTTAAAAGTATTTATTAAGGGCTAAAGATCTAGCTTAATGGGCCAGGCGTGGTGGCGCACTCCTGTAGTCCCAACACTCGGGAGGCAGAGGCAGGCTCATCTCTATGAGATCAAGGCCAGCCTGGTCTACACAGTGAGTTCCAGGTCAGCTGAGGCTGCAGGGAGACCCTGTCTCAAAAAGCCAAAAAAAAAAAAAAAAAAAAAAGATACAGCTTAATGGCAGAATACTTGCTTAGCTTGGGCCCTTGGGTTCCATCCCTAGCATTACACTAAAGAAAAAACGGGCTGGAGAGACAGCCTCTTCTGTGCTCTGAGGGCACTGCACAACAAGGGTGTACTTACATACATGCAGGCGATACACACATACACATAAAATAAAAAGAAAAAAAAGAAAAAAAGAAAAAAACCAAAATGAACAAGAAAAGAAAAAAGATCCAAGTGACACTGTCAATTGTTATCAAGGTCTCTAAGCGCATTGCTACACTTCTGAATTTATTGACTAGAGGACAGAACTCAGGATGGGGACCCAGCTTCAAGCTATCCTGTTCTGCATGGCTCCTCTGGTACCAATTCCCAGCCCTTTAGAATACCGGAATGCATAGATATTCAAGTCTCTCAGATAAACGACAGGATTGCATATAACCAATGTATACTCTGCACACGTTAAACTGCTTCCCTATTAACACCTAATGTACTGTCTGGTCTAGAGAATGATGAATGGAAGGAAGTCTGTTCTAGTTCTGTGCAGGTGCAATTCTTAAATACTTTAAAAAATTATTTTTATTTTATATGCATGAATGCTTTGCCTGTGCCACATGTGTGCAGTGCCCATGGAGGCTAGAAGAGAATGCCAGACCCATTGGAACTAAAGTTTCAGATAGTTGTTAGCCACCATGTGGGTGCTAGGAACCAAACCCAGGTCCTCTACAAGAGCAGCCAGTGCTCTTAAGCACTCAGCCATTTCTCCAGTCACTAAATACATTTATGTTAAATCCAGACAGGAAACCCAAGTTGCAATACATTTACTTCTTCACCTGGGTTCCTCTGTAGCCTGGGTACCCCACCATATCTACTGCTTGGATGACTTTGAGAACTAAAGGAAGGCTTAGGTAGCAGTACTGTCTGTCCAGGGCTGTTGAGAATCAACCCACCATTTGGAACCAGGAGGAGGCTTTTCACCATGCTTCTGAGAGGGCCAAGACTGATCTGATTGGTGGTGGCAAATTCGGTTAGCTGAGCCTGAAACCGCTCCACCTGGAGAGAGGGAACAGCACAAACACCTTTACTTTCTAAGTTCTCAGGCCTTTAGATCCACTTTGGGGAGCCCTCCTTATCACAAAATACCTTACTTACCTCTTTGGGTTCAGTTAGGAAATGGAAAAGCACTTCTGTCAGGGCTGAGAACTGCTGTAAAAGGAGAACAGAAAGCATCAACACCATGCTGTTCCCAGGTTGCATGCTACATCATACCCAGCTGCAGGCTCTTGAGAGAGAATGGACCAAACAGGAACTGATGCCTGCCTGCCTCCTCCCTCCCTTCCATTACGTGTGTGCCAGGGCAGGTGCAAGTATGCTTAGAGGACAACTTTCAAGAACTGGTTCTCGCCTTCCACTTTGTTGAGGCAGGCAGTGTCCTGCTCATTTCTGCTGCTGCAGTTGTGTACTCCAGGCCAGCTCCAACGAGCTTCAGTCTCATTCTCCTGTCTCCATCTCCCATCTCACCATGAGTGCTGGGATTACAGATAAACACCACTGCATCCAGCATTTTATGTGAGTTCTGGGGACTGAACCTGGGTCATCAGGTTGGTGCTTTTACCAGCTGAGCCACCTCCCTGGCCTCGAGGGCCCATTTTGATCATTTTAAAGTGGGGATGTGAACAGTTCCTGGTGGTGTATACCTGTAATCCCACAACTCAGGAGGCAGAGGCAAGTGAGCAAGGTGAGCCAAAGCTACAGAGCAAGACCCTGCCTCAGAACAAAGTTTCAGTGTTCACATCCCACAAGGCTAACCAATGTCAACAAATCTGCATCACCCCACTGTGTGAGAAGCCCTTCCAGGGATGTTTCAGAGCCAAATTCTGGGAGACTGTGCACAAGCAGGGGCACAGACACATCTAAGGTCCAAGTATACAAACACACAAGGAAAAAAGGTCTGAAAGGGAATATCACTAGAACATTAACAATAGTTACATCTGTTGGGCATGTTAATCTTTTTACTAGAACTGTTTTGTTAGGGACTGAATATCTCTATCTTATACATTTTTGTGTTCACTAGATGTGGTGGCATACATCTTTAATTTCAGTACTTGGGTGACAGAGTCAGTAGATCTCTGAGTTTGAGGCCAGCCTGGTTGACATAGTGAGACATAGTGAGACCCTGTCTCAAGACACCAAAAGGGGCTGGAGAGATGGTACAGTGGTTGAGAGCAGTGGCTGCTCTTCCATGGGACCTGGGTTTGATTCACAGCACCTACATGGCAGCTAACAACTGTCCATAAGTCCAGTTCCAGGGGAGCCAATGCCCTCTTCTGTCCTCTGTGGACACTATATAACATGGACATACTTACATATATGCAGGCAATATACGCATACACATAAAAATAAATAAAATATTTAAAAACAAAACAATAAGAGCAAAACAAAACAAAAAAACCTGCCCTCTAAAATTCTTGTTTAAGCCCTGGTCCCCAAGTAATTGTATTCCTAGGCAGGGTCTGGGCCTGGTAAGGGCAGAATGAGGAAGGATTCTAATCTCATGAAGAGGGCTTGTCATGAGGGAGGGTCTGAGTAGAATCCTGAGCACCTTTAGAAAAAAAGAAGAGACACAGAGCTCTCTTATGTGGACACAACAAGAAGAAATCTACACATCACAAAGTGGCAGGTGTGGAGGCTCATTCCTATAATCAATCACAGCACTCAGGAGGCTGAGGCAGAAGGACTGCCAAAAGTTTGAGGACAGCCTGGGCTAGAGAGTAAAACCTTATCTCAAAAAGAAAAAACCCAAACTACCAGGCATGGTGGCACAGGCCTTTAATCCGGGCAGAAGCAGGTGGCGCCCTGTCTCAAAAAGACCACAAAACAAAAACAAAAACAAAAACAAAAACAAAAACAAGACCTGGGAATTATACAAACAACCTCCTCATACAGGAGAAAAACAATCTCTAGCTTCAGTATTATTCTTAGCTCTAAAGGTGGCAGATGCAGAAACCAAGCACAACACCAACCTAGACCAGCAACTGGGGCTGGAGAGATAGCTCAGTGGTTAAGAACATTGGTTGTTCTTGCAGAAGACCTGGGTTCGAATCCCAGCACCCATATGGCAGCTAACAACTGTCCGTTACTCCAGTTCCAGGGGATCTGACAGCCTCTTCTGTCCTCTGAGGACATTGCATGACACAGGTGCACTTACCTACATGTAGGCAATACATACATACACATAAAATAAAAATAATAAATTAAAACAAAACAAAAAAAAACAATGGCAGCAATTAACCATAGCCAGAATTGGTCACTATGCCATTTGATGTCCCCAGCAGCAACAATCCAATATAGAAAAATCATAGGCAGATACTTCAGTTCAAAATTATATGTGTAATATGAAGGTTAAATGCACCTGCTGTTTCTGTTATGAACCACGACTCTCTCTCTGATATATTTATTAATATATTGCTTTTTAGAAGTGAAGATTTAATAAGAAAAAGTCCCAAAGAATTCCTGAGAGTAGGAGGGCTCCAAAGAAGGAATACCCTGTGTTTGTTTTCTAACTTATTTCGTGGATGTATGTATCATACAGGCATGTATACATCATGATGCTCATACAAGAAATTCAGAGGACAACTTGCAGGAGTCGGTTTTCTCTACCACTATGTGGGTTGCAGGGCTTATTAGGCTTAGTGACAAGTGCTCTTACTCACTAACTTGTTTTTTTTTTTTTTTTTCTTTTCTTTTATGAGAGGGTCTTACTATGTACCCCAGGCTGACCCTGAACTTGTGCCAGTTCTCTGGAGTAGTGGGATTACAGGTGTGAGTCACTGTTCTGGCTTCATTCTTATTATCATCTGTTTTTGTTTTTTGAGACAGGATCTCACTATATAGCTATGGCTAGCTTGGAACTTGCAGTGATCATCCTGCTTTGGCTTCCCAAGTGCTGAGATTACAGACAGCTATGCGACACCACACTGGGCTTTTCATCTAAAAAATATTTTTCTCAGTGCTGAGGATCTAGCCCAGAGCTTTGCACATGCTGGGCAAGCACTGTGCAACACCCCTAGGCCTTCTGTATTATTTTATTAAGAAATGTAATCAGAAAGTCTGGATTTTCTTGAGATTGTACAAATCTTATGAGAAAAAAACTTAACATATAGATTGGTGATAGAGCACTTGCCTTGCACTCTTGAGGCCCTGAATTCAATCACTAACATTCCAAATTAAATTCAGTTAAAATATAAAACCAAAGATGAAGCTGGTCATATTGGTACATGCCTATAATCTCAGCACTTGGGAGGCCGAGGTACTGGGAATACCATGAGTTCAGGGACAGCCTGGTCTACATGGAACATTCCAGCCAGCCAAGGCTATATATCCAGACCCTGTCTCCAAAACCACAGAAAACTGGGCTGGTGAGAAGGCTCAGTGGATGAAGGTGCTTCCTGCCAAGCCTCAGGACCTGAGTTTGATAGGAACTCACCCATGTGATAGGAGAGAACCAACTCCTGAAAGTTGTCTTCTGACTTCCACGTGTATGCTCTGACAGACACACATGCTACACACACACACACACACACACACACACACACATACACACACACACACAATTAGGGGCTAGAGAGATGGCTAAGTGGTTTAGAGTACCAGCTGCTCTTGCAGAGGGCAAGGGTTCAAATCCCAGCACCCACATGGCGGCTAACAATCATCTATAACTCCAGTTTCAGGTGATCAGACACCCACTTCTGACGCCAGAGGCATTGTATGACGGGGGGTGCACTCACATACAGCACACTCATATATATAAAATAAAAATATTTTAAAAAACAAATAAATATAATTAAAATGGGGAAAAAAATCAACAAAAAAACTTAGCCAGGAATGGTGGCTAATCACTATAACCTAGCAATCCAGAGTAAGAAGGAGAGTTCAAGGCCAATCTGGGCCATATAGTCAAACACTGTCTCAACCACCAGCCCCCATGTACATACATGCATATATCCATCCATACATATATGCATACATGTGTATTCTTGCTGTTTCTGGTTTTATTTTTAAAGATGGCTCTTAACTGCTGAGCCATCTCTTCAGCCCCCAGCTGTCTTGAGAGTTTCATGTAGTCCAGGCTTGCCTTAAATTCTAGTTCCTGCTGCCATCTCCCAAGGAAGGGCTGGGATTATAAATTTGTGACATCATACTTAGCTATAAAAGTAGATTTTGAATATATAAAGTAACACATGTGCCAAGTTTTTTAAAGACCACACAGACACAGACACAGACATTTTCCTTTTCCTTCTGGACCACCTCCTTAGTCCCATTTCCTATGTGGTTACTACTACCCCTTCTAGAACTTTCTGGTCATTCTGTTTCCTTTTAATTACAAAATGGGCTCTTCTACAGGAAATATTCACAACAGGGGGGTATTGGGCATTTGACTACATGGACTTGGCAACAATTTAACTTACAGTAATACATATTAGGAACAATTTGTAATGAAAAGCCTCTCACATATTTGTTTGTTAATATATACAGGAATGCCTTGTGACAAATTATTAAAATGTATCCAAGGTTGTCTAGAATGCCAAACTCCTCCCCAATGTATCCTAAGTCAAAGGAAACATACCTTTTAAATTCAGAGAAAACATTAAATTATATATTTGTTTGTTGTTTTGAGAGGGTCTTAGTAACACAGGTGGGCCTCCACTTGACAGCAATGCTCTAGCCTTAGCTTCCAGTGTCCTGAGCTTACAGGTGTGAGCCACCAAGCCAGGCTGTGAAAAACCAGGTTGCTGCATGGATTTACATTCCCACCAAACAATGGCACACAAATACAGGCTTTCTGAAAATGTCAACATTACTTGGAAATACTTCAACAAATGTTCATCATGAGGTCATTTTCCTACATAATGTTTTTTTTTTTTCCTTTTTTCCTTTTTTTTTTTTTTTTTTTTTTTTTTTTTTTTTTTTTTTTTTGTCTCCCTGTAACCCCAGCTGGCTTGGAACCAGATATGTAGACCAGGCTGGTTTGGAACTGACAGATCCACCTGCCTCAGCCTCCCCAGAGTGCTGGGATTAAAGGCATGCATCATCATGCTTGGCCACATTTTGTTTTTTCATTGAGACAGTATTCAGCCTAGGCTAGCCCAGGACTCAAGGTAATCTTCCTGCTTCAGCTTTCCCACCATACCCAGGTGCCTTTATTTATTTCTTAAAAATCCTCCCCCGGGGGTGGGGGGCAAATCTGTGGAACCATTAGCTCTCTGGCCACTGCATCTCCATTAGGACCTCCTAAACTCTGGGATGGCTAAGAGAACACCCGCTGCTTTTCTATTTCCAGGCCTCAGCTCAGCATTCCTTCAAGTTTACCTTCAGCCTTTTTATTGGGTCCATACCCACCTTTCTTCTAAAGAGGAACTTCAAGCTATTCTGGTCTGTTGGCTGCTGTCAACCCCCATTCTACCCAAGTCTCCCAGGCTTCTCACTCTTCCTTACCCTTCAAACCCTGCCCAGATGTCAAGATACTCCTAAATACCAAAGGAAATAATCAACAGAAGATAGAGAGGTATATTGCAAGCTATACCTCTGATACGTAGTCAACATCTATAATATATAAGGAGCTCAAACTCAAAAACGAAAACCACACAATTAAAAACTGAGGCAAACACTTCAAGCAGAGTTAGAACGTGACCAAGAATTAAAAACTAAAAAAATATTTTATTCTGCTTTTAAAATTTTATGTGTATGAGTGTACTGCATGCATGTATTTAAGTGTACCCATGTCATGCAATGCCTTATGAAGTCAAAAGAGGGTGTCAGATCCCCTGAAAGTGGAGTTGCAGATGGCTGTTAGCTGCTGTGTTGGTGCTGGGAACCAAACCAGGGTCCTTCCTCTGCAAAAGCAATCAATGCTCTTAACCACTGACCCATCTCTCCAGCCCTGAAACTTTTTTTTTAACTTTAAAAAAAATATTTTATTTATTTTTATGTGTATTCATGTATTGCCTACATGTAGGTAAGTGCACCCATATCGTGTAATGCCTGTGGAGGTCAGAAGAGGCTGTCGGATCCTCTGGGACTGGAGTAACGGGGATTTGAACCCAGGTCTTCTGCAAGAACAGTGTTCATAACTGCTGAGCCATCTCCCCAGCCCCTAAAATATTTGTTATTTTTGTTTTATGTATATGAATGTATTGCCTACATGCCTGTAAGTGCACCCGTACTGTGCAATGCCCATGGAGGTCAGAAGAAGGCATCAGATTCCCTGGAACTAGAGGAATTAAAGACAGTTGTTAGCTGCCATCTGGGTGCTAGGAATTGAACCCAGGTCCTCTTCAAGAGCAGTCAGTGCTTTTAACCACAGAGCCATCTCTCCAGCCCTAAAACTTTTTTTTTTTTTTTTTTTTTTTAAAGACAGGGTCTTGCCAGGCATTATAGCACATGCCCTTAGTTTTTAAATTTATTATTTTTTTTTAATTTTTGAGACAGGGTCTCCCAATAGCCCCACCTGTCCTGGAACTCACTATGTAGACCAGGCTGGCCTCAATCTCATAGAGATCTGCCTGCCTCTGCCTCCTGAGTGCTGAGGTTAAAGCTGTGCACCACCAAAGCAGGGGCAGAGGCAGGCAGATATCTGAGTCTGTGAGTGCCAGGCCAGCCTGGTCTACATAGTGAGTTCAGGCTACTCAGGACCCTTTAAAAAAAAAAAAGTTTTATTTATTCTTTGACAATTTCATACTTATGTTAATTGCTTTAGAAATTAAAGAAAGAAATACCTCACAAAACTCTTGCCTAGTATGTGGATGGTCCTGTCTTATCCCCAAGAGGCAGGTAGACAATCACCATGTAGCCTAGGCTGGCCTTGAACTCTGGAACCTCTGGTGTCTACCCTGGGAGTGCTAGGCACTGGCATTCCAGGAACCTGCTAACATACTTGGCTTGGCTCAGATTCTGACTTCTGAGGCTCCCTCCTGGAACCTCACTCAGGTTCCAAGTATGATATATAACCTTGATAAGGAACACAAACCTGCCTAGCAGTTCTCAGTATACTAAGTCTCAGCTGCTGACTGAGTCTTCATGGCTGCCTCACCCTGGAATGCTCATCACCCATGACTATCTCTGCATATCAAAATCTTAACCTATTATCATTATCACTAGCAAACATCACAAGGGATGCTCAAGGTCATTCTAGGCTAGGGAAATATAAACCAGTAGAAGAGATACACTTTCATTTATCAGAGCTGTAAACCCAAAGTTTGAGAACACCTGTGCTAGGATACCACAGGGACAGGATCCTCAAACTGACAGCTCCAGGGAGTAATGGGCTACCTTCCTAGAGGACATTGTCATACTACAGACACAATTTTAATGACAATCATAGCTTCAACACTAGTAATTCCATTGCAAGAAGTATGCCTTCCATCCATGTTCCATCTTGGCTCAACACAGTTATTTGTTCCTTGAAAGCATTGTTTATAAAACAAACAAAAACTCAACCAGGGCTGGTAGTTCATTCCTCTAATTCCAGCACTGTGGAGGCAAAAGCAGGAGAATCTCTAGCAAGCACAAGGCCAGCAAGGGCTACAGAGTGAGACCTTACCTTAAAAAAACAAAACAGCAGCAGGGCGTGGTAGCCTTTAGTCCCAGCACTCGGGGGGGCAGAGGCAGGCGGATCTCTGTGAGTTCAAAGTCTACATAGTGAGTTCCAGGACAGCTGGGGCTACAGGGAGACCCTGTCTCAAAAAGATCAAAAAAAAAAAAAAAAAAAAAAAAACCCCAAAAACCTAAACAGCAACTGCTTCTGTAACCCCAGCACTCAGGAGGCTGAGGCAGAAGGGTCATGAATTTGAAGTCAGTCTGGCCTACACAGTGAAACTGTTTTAAATTCTTTTAAAAGAGCTGGACCTGGTGGCACAGGTTATAATCCCAGCTACTCAGGAGACTGAGAAAGGAGGCTTCTAAATTCAATGTCTGTCTGACTCTAACAAAAAAGGCTAGGGCCAAGCATAGCGGTGCATGCCTATAATCTTAGAACTGGGAGGCAGAGGAGGAAAATTGCTGTTCTAAGACAGTCAGGGCTACAAAGAACCTGCATGAAAATAAAACAACAACAATACAACAAACCACCACATAGGATTTTATTAATAGATATTTGAGTATGGTGTCATGCACCTGTAATCCCAACACTTAGGGATGCTAAGGCAGGAAGCCCTCCAGTTTGAGACCAGCCAAGGCTAAACAGAGATTCTGTCTCAAGGGGAAAAAAAGAATCCTGGGCTGGTGAGATGGCTCATTGAGTAAAGGCACTTATGGTTAAGCCTGATACCTGAATGGTGAAAGGAGAGAACCAGCATCAAATCCTGGGGTTGTCCTCTGACTTCCCCTTCATACACCCACCCCCCAGTCCCTGACAACACTAAAATGCCATACAAAAATCTTTTAAAAAGACTCTTACTTTTTTAGCAGTAGAATCTTTTTTTTTTTTCTTCAAATGGAAGTCTTGAGACTAGTGGTGTCAAGGAAGCAAAAGCTAAGCTATTTCCCTAGCTTTGAAGTCAGACATCCGGGTCTGAATTCCTGGCGCTACAACTTCCTGGCTACAGACTTGCAATCCTTCTGCCTCAGCTTCTTAGGTCCTGGTTTACAGACATGCACTACCACTAGCTCTTTAAAAAATTTTTTTTCTGTGGTGCTGGGAACTGAACCCAGGGCTTCTCACATGCTAGACAAGTGCTTTACCCTCTACCACTAGGTGACAGCCCTGGCCCTCCTCCTGGCCCTCCTCGCTGGCCTAGAACTTGATATATAGACCGGATTGGCCTTGATCTCACTGAGATCTGCCTGCCTCTGCCTTCTGAGTGCTGAGATTAAAGGCATTGAGTCCCATGCCTGGCTGGCCCTCTTTTTATTGGTATATACTGGAAAAGACATATGGTAAATAGCAGGTAAGAGTGCTTACTGCTTTAGCAGAGGACCCAGGTTTTGGGTTCAGTTGCCAGTACCCACATTACGTGGTTCACAACCACATGTAATTCCAGTTCCAGTGAATCCAATGCCTTCTAACCTCTTCAAGCACCTACATGCACAGGGTGCACATAAACAAACTCATGCAGACACACATACATATACAAGATAATTTTTGGTCTTTTTGAGACAGGGTTTCTCCTGTAGTCCCAGCTAGCCTAGAACTAGGATCTGTACAGAGATCCATCTTGCTCTGCTGAGTGCTGGGATTAAAGGCATGCGCCATCACACCCAGCACAAATTTTTTAAAAGATTAGAAATATGGCTTATACTAGGTGTGATGACTCACACCTGTAATCTTAACAGAAGGGAGGCTAAGGGAGGAGGATCATTAAGATTCAAGTTCAGCCCCTGCTAGAGTGAGACCCTATCTCAAAACAAATCAGAAAGAGAAGGGAGGGAAAGAGTTGGCATTATAATCACAGGAATCAATACTTTAGGAAGAAATCAGTTTGGTTTTTATTCATTAAACAGGCTACTAGGTGTGTGGGGAGTTGTGGTTGGGAAGTAGACCAGACTGGCCTTGAACTAGATAGTTGTGCAAACTGGGTGAACTCCTACTTCCACCTTCCAAGTACTGGGATTGGGAAGGGCCATTTTAACCCATTTTTTTAGCTGCCAGCAGGAGGACAGGTACCCTGACTTGGCTGGAACCTGCTGTCTGGACAGAAGGAGGTGCTCGGGGCTCCATGCCAGGGATGGGGCCTCCAAAGCGCAGTGTTTCTTCCCTAGACTGGGAAGGGGCGTGTTCACCGGCCCAGTCCTAGCCCCTTCCGGCTCAGGCCCAGGGCCCCAGTCTGGACACCCACACAGGCCATCAGATGCCCGGCCGCCCGCCCCGGCCACCTACCAACGCCCGCCTCTGTTCCTGGCTCTCGGCCTCCCCGAACCCCCGAAATCCCTCCTCTAGGTCCCCGCAAACCCTCCAGGTCCCCCGGAGTCTCCCCCTCCCAGCCCCCCCTTCCCCCCGCGCACGCCCAGGCTTGGCCCACCTGCACACCCAGCTGGTTCAGCTGCTGCATGTCGCCGCCCACTGCCTCGGGCACCGGGTCCTGAGTGTAGTGCAGGCGACCCATGGCGCCCCGCAGCTCCGCCGAGCTCGCGTCCTCCGCTCGGCCTCGCTGCACTTCCGCAGCCGCACTTTCGCCACACTCCCAGAGCCCGCTCGCGGGACGGCGCACGCGCGGCCGCCTGGTTCCCAGGACCGCTCTAAGTATCCCACATAGTCAGGCCTCTGCCTGGGTAACCCTAGATAAAGCGCTTGGCCCTTCTGAGTCGCGGTTTCCCTGTCTGTTTAATGATGCTTTGGGTAGCTGCTTACCGGTGTCCGGCCACCAATAACCTTGAGAACAGTAGCCTTGAAGCACAGAATATTAATCAATGACTGGTTGCTGTCTTTATCACCATTGTTATTTTGCATTCAGTAAATCTGTGTATCATTTAATGTATCTACCACTTCTATAAATGTAGTGTTGAGGCTAGGCGTGGTGGTGCACGCCTTTAATCCAAGTACTGGGGAGGCTGAGGCAGGTGGATCTCTGTGAGATAGAAGTTAGCCTGGTCTACATAGTGAGTTCCAGGCCAGCTGGGGCTACAGGGAGACCCTGACTCAAAAAGAAGAAAGCGGCTGGAGAGATAGCTCAGCGGTTAAGAACACTGTTCTTGCAGAAGACCCGGGTTCGAATCCCAGCATCCACATGGCAGCTAACAACTGTCTGTAACTCCAGTTCCAGGGGATCAGACGGCCTCTTCTGTCCTCATAGGCGTTGCATGACACAGGTGCACTTACCTACACGCAGGCAATACACTCACACACATAAATAAGAATAATAAATAAATAAATAAGAAGAAAAAGAAAATGATTCTGAGGATTGATCCCAGGGCTTTGCATAGGCTAGGCAAGGGCTCTACCACTGAGCTGTTTCAACAGTCCTCAGCAAATATACTGCATGTCTACCAGATGCCAGGCACTGGTGACAGGGCAGGGCACAAAGCAGACTAGTGTGTCCTTCTGAGAGCCAGAGTTAAATGATAGGGCTCAAATTTAGGCAGGCATTAGTGTCACCTGGACAATTGGTGTAACTGCCAATTGTTGGGCTCCACCCCCAGTCTCAGTTCTGAGCTGAGTGGGTTGGAGCTGCAGGCTAATAATGTACATTTCCCACAAGTTTCCAGGAACCACAGTTTGAGAACTGAATACATGCTAGGTATTTGTTCTATGACCAAATACTCCTACCCTTCAGGATCTGTGTAGCACAGGCTGGCTTTGAAATCCTGATCCTCCTGTCTCTACCTCCTGAGTGTTAGGGATTCCACACACCATTCAGGTTTATCAGGAGTGAGGGTGTTACCCAGGGCCCCATTCATGCTAGGGAAGCAGTCTACCACTGAGCTCCACCCTCAGCTCCTAATAATCATATTATACGTATGAGACTTTAAGTAACGGAATGCACAACGTGTGCTGATTATGCCAGCATCGTCCCTTTATTGACCTTCCTATTTCTTTTTTAAATATTTTATTATTTTTATTTTTATGTGTATGAGTGTTATGCTGCATGTAGGTAAGTGCACCCGTGTCATGAAATGGCCGCGGAGGACAGAAGAGGCTGTCAGATCCCCTGGAACTAAAGTTATGGACAGTTGTTAGCTGCCATGTGGGTGCTGGGATTCGAACCTGGGTCTTCTGCAAGAACAGTCAGTGTTCTTAACCGCTGAGCCATTTCTCCAGCCCCCCCTTTTTAAAAAAATATTTATTATTTTTATTTTTATGTGTATGAGTGTTACGCCTGCATGGAGGTAAGGCCCCTCCTCTTATTTCTGTTCTAACTTTTTTGGTGCCAGAAACAAAGCATTGTGCTGGGTGTGGTGGCACACCCTGGACTCCTGATTCTCTTGTCTCCATCTCCTGAGTGCTTTGATTACTGATGAATGCTAGCAGGCTAAGCCTTTATTTTAATTTTTTTTTTTTTTTTTTTTTGAGACAGGCTCTCAGTATGTAGTCCTGGCTAGCCTGGAATTCCACAGGTAGACCATACTGAAGCTAACTTGAAACATGGATCCTCCTGATTGCTGAGCTTACAGGTGTGCACCATCATGCCTAGGTTTTTTTGTTTTTGTTTTTCAAACAGGATTGCCCTCTGTTTAGCCCAGAACTCATAGCAATCCTCCTTCCCCTGCCTCTTGAGTGTGCTGAGAGTATAGGTATATGTCACCACACCTGATTTTTCATTTTTATTAAGGATTTTGCAATTTACAAAGGCAATAAAGTAGTCTCCCCTTTTATTTTGTAGACTTTCTGTGGTTAATCTTGGTCTGAAAACAGTAAGACAGTAAGTGGAAAATTAAGAAATAAATGATTCACTGGGCGTGGTGGCACACGCCTTTAATCCCAGCACTCAGGAGGCAGAGGCAGGTGGATCTCTGTGAATTCAAGGCCAGCCTTGTCTGTATAGTGAGTTCCAGGACAGCTGGGGCTACAGGGAGACCCTGTCTCAAAAAGACCAAAAAAAAAGAAATAAATAAATGAGTCACAAGTTTTAAATTGCACAGCATTCTGAGTAGTGATGATAATGGCATATGCCACCCACTCTGTTTTACCCTGGGTCAGTGAGTCCATGCTGTATATATACAAGTGACACTTGCCTCTTAGTCAAGGTGTTTTCCCCCTTTTTAATTTTTTCAGTCTTTCTGAGGGTGGGTCTCCCTGTAGCCTTCCCCCTTGTTTTTTGAGATAAAGTCTCTTTTTGTAGCCCTGAATGGCCTCGAATCATAATGTAGACCAGGTTAGACTCTAATTTAGAGTAATTCTCCTGTCTTTGCTGGTATTACAGGTGTGCCGGACCATATCCAAGCATAACCTTCTTGTTTACAGATGGATTGTCCCTGTGTGGCAGTGCCCATGTTCAAGTAAAATATATTTTATTTGACAATGGACCCAAAGCACTTCAATAGTGTGGTGCTGTCAATATGGTAATGCTAGACAGAAGCCATAAAAAGCTTCCTTGAAGTGAAAGGGAAAAGTTCTTGACTTAATAAGGAAAGAAAAAACAAAACAAAAATAACATTAGGTGGATGTGGTGCACACTCTTGTGAACTTACCACTTGACAGGCTGAGACAGGACGATTGATGGGAATTCAAGGCCAGTCTGGTTACATAGAGTACCAGGCCAGTCAGAGCTATAGAACAAAACCCTGTCACAAAAAAACAAAACAAAACAAAACAAAACCCAACCCAACCCAACCCAACCCAACCCAAACCAAACAAAACGATATAAGTTTATGGTTAGCTTTAGTATGGTCTACCTGTGGAAGTCCAGGGTAGACAGGACTACAAACTAAAAGAACAAACAAAACAAAAACCCAACAAACCAACAACAAGAACATTTGTGCTGTCATTAAGGCTATGATAGGGGCAGGGGCAGGGGCAGGGGCAGAGGCAGGTGGATCACTGTGAGTTTGAGGCCAGCTGGGGCTACAGGGAGACCCTGTCTCAAAAAGACAACAACAACAACAAAAAGACTATATGATAGGAGCAAATCTTTTCTCTGTGAGATTGTGAAGAAGGAAAAAGAATTTGAGGGGCCAGTATATATAAAAATGGCATGGTGTAATCCTAGCACTTGGGAGGTACAGTCACGATGATCAGGAGTTCAAGGTTAGCCTCAACAAAGTTGGCTACATGAGACCGTGCCTCAAAAAACACAGCACACTAGCCAGGCTTGGTGGTGCACACCTTTAATCCCAGCACTCAGAAGGCAAAGGCAGGCAGATCTCTTGTGAGTTCCAGGTCAGCTAGGGCTACAGAGCAACACTGTCTCAAAAACAACAACAACAAACAAACAAACAAACAAAAAAATCCAAAAAATAAAAAACAAAACCACAACACACAGAGATACACACACAGACACGGTGGCACACACTTTTAATCCCAGCGTGCTGGAGGCAGAGGCGGGTAGATCTCTGTGAATTTGAGGCCAGCCCGGTCTATACACTGAGTTCTAGACGAGCTCACCACCAATCCCCACCCCCCCACACACACCGAAAAAAGACAAAAAAGAAAAGAAAATGAAGAAAATAAAAGATGGTACACTTCCCAGCACTTGGGAAGCAGAAGCAGAAAGAAGGTTGCAAGCTCCAGGCCCGACAGGGATCTGTATCAAGACCCTGTCTTGGAAAACAAAAACCCAAAACCAGATACCACCAAAGAAATCACAGAACAACCTCTTGGCCCCAGGACACCAACAAACAAACACAGAAACTGAAGAGGAAGTACAGAAGTAGGAAGAGGAGAGGAGAAGGCAACATTCAAAGAAGTCTTCAAAGTTGATGGCACTGAACACCTTCTGGAAAATGAACCTCCAAAGGGCAGAGGAGGCTGGTCATAGTGGGACAAGTCTATAATCTCACTTAGGAGGTAGAAGCAGGAGGATGAGGAGTTCAAGGCCAGCCTCCACTTTGAGACTCCCCCACCCAGCCCATCTCAAAAACAAAACAAAACAAAAACAAACAACAACAACAAAAAACCCCACCCAACCGAACCAACCAAACCAAGGGCTAGACAGATGGCTCAATGGTTAGGAGCACTGGGTGCTCTTGTAGAGAACCCTAGTTAAGTTCCTAGCACCCACATAGCAGCTAGCAACCATCCATAACTCCAGGTCCAGGGGATCCAACGCCCTTTTCTGGCCTCCATAGGTTTAGCATGCACGCAGGCAAAACACTCATACACGTAAATAAATTGACAAAACAAAAACAACAACAAAAAGTGTTAAGGAGGCAGCAGGACATGAAGCATGGAAGGACAGATTGACTCAGGTGACACAGTACAACCACAGGTTTATGAGTGGGACTACACTCACATAACCAGCCTCATAGCTTAGTTGAGTACATCATTAAAATTGGTCTTTAAAAAAAATTTGTATTGCCAGACATGGTGGTATACACTTTTAATCTCACCACTCCAGAGGCAGAGGTAGGTGGATCTCTATGAGATTAAGGCCAGTGTGATCTCCATAGTGAGTTCAGGGCCAGCTGAAGCTACAGGGAGATCCTGTCTCAGAAAAGGAAAAAAAGCCAGGCATGGTGGCACATGCCTTTAGTCCCAGCACTCAGGAGGCAGAGGCAGGTGGATCTCTGTGAGTTCAAGGCCAGCCTGGTCTGCATAGCACATAGCAAGTTC